ACTCCCAGAATTCCCCAGCCAGCCATGGTGGCTGGGGAATTCTGGGAGTTGAAGTCCACATGTCTTCAAGCGGCCAAGGTTGAGAAACACTGCTGTAAGTGAGAAAGATAACCTGGGGAATTCTGGGAGTTGGTCCACACGTCTTCAAGTGGCCAAGGTTGAGAAACACTGCTCCAGATGTTTGGAGTCTGGCTTAGAACATCTGGCATGATGGTTCTGCTTCAACACCAGCAGTTTTCTAGCACGTCAGACAGTGGGGGGAGTTTTCGAAGTCCTGCTGGAAATGCAACAGACCCTGCTTGGGACCTCCGGCATGTAAATGGCTGGGCCGTGGGGCTTTCCTTTCTTCCGATATGGGTCAGGACTCCAGCGCCAGCGAGTTGGGGCAAGGGTGGTTTCCTGAGCAAAGAAGCGATGCCTCTCACCCAAAAACCAGCCCAGCGAATGCACGGACAGGACAGAGGTAACATCACCCTCGGCCAGATGTGGATCCTGCCTGGCACGCAGCTAAATTTGGGAAGTAATGTCAAGGCAGGGTCTTGTTCAGGGAGGGGCCAGTCTTAAGAGAAAGGCGGGCCGAGCATCAGCGTAAGCCTGGCTCTCTTTTCAGGGCAGATTCTTTAAGAGCCCGCAAAAGACGGGGAATTGGATTCCTGGACCCAGAAAGGAAAACGCTCCAGGTGAGCCTCCGTGGCGTCCACCTGCCTCCTCTCGGCCGCGTCCCTTTGCAAATGGTCCTTCCCGGCACGGGCAGGCTGTGGAATCGGTCTGGAAAAACCACCCAGATCGCATTTCCTAATCCCTGGCTGGGGATGGGCGGGGTACCGAAAACAAGATTGAATTTCCTGCAGGGCTACGTAGGAGTCAGAGGCAGCATCGCCATCACTCTACAACGCTTCCAGATTATCCGCTCCTTTAAAAATATGGCGTTTTGGGGGGGAAAGGACTGCTTTCTTGTTCCTCTCTCTCCCACCACACTTTCTTCTTTCCTCTTATATTTTCCCCCTTCCCTTCCCTTCCCTTCCCTTCCTCCCTTCCCCTTCTCCTTCCCCTTCCCTTCCTTTTTAATGGGGTTTGTTTCTAAAGACTCAGTGCCCCATTGCCCCTCTATGTGCCCACCGCAGGAGGGCAATCTCACAAAACAAGTTCCATTAAGAAAAAGAAACCTTAAATGATCAGCAGTGAAACAGGCACCAACTGTAACGCAACAAAGGGAAATTTAAGGCAACTTCCCCCCCATCCTTCAAACGTCTGCTGGGAATCATCATCATTTAAAAAGGGTTGACCAGCAACACTGTCCGGGCCTGGGGCAGGAAACTAATTCCTACTGCCAACTTCAATCAGTGTTAAAGAGCGACGCCGCTTCGTGCTTCGCTTCATGTGAGAAAGATCACAGGGAATCTCTTCCTTTCTCCCTCTGCAAATGAACCAGCTGCCCTTCGAGAGGGAGTTTTCCCAGGCTGGTTTACGATGCATTAAGCCTGCAGTTTGATTTTTTCTTAAACGACGGAACGGCTATTAAAAATAAACCGTATTAAAAGGAAGAGCCTCTACCGCTGACCTCCGGATACTACCCTGCAGCGGTGGGATTTTCAAACGGGGGAGATGGCAGCATTTTCGACTGGTAATTGTGCTGTGCTCCCACCGTTTCCCCGCTTTTTTTTTTATTTTGCATTTCTCAAAAGTTCTGCAAAGCAGGGAAGGATGGACTGACCGTATAGTACGGATAGGCCAGGCTGCGGTGCTTGCCTCGCCTCCCAAAAGATGGGGGCCGAGGACCAGCGCGGAGATGGCCGCTTGGGACGGGCTGCCTTTGGGGCCAGGTCCGCCGGGGTTCTCCGGAAGCCCTTCAGAGCAATCCTGACAACCTGTGGGTCTGGCTGGCGATCGCTGGCCTTTGCCCGCTGGCTTCTCGCGGGCACCCCACCGACCGCCCTCCACGCCCCCTCTGTTTATCGTTCGCCGGAATTCTTGGAAGCAGGAGATCAAAACCAGATTTCTTTTTCCAGAGGCTCCACCGATCTGAACTCCGCTGCTGGATTCCAGAGAGGTCAAAGGAG